CCTATTAAGGCAAAAAACTAACCATAATAAAGAAAAACATTGGTTAAAATATTACAACAGTTATAAAATAAACAAAAAAAATACAATTCTAGATTTTTTTAACAATTGCAAGCTCGTGGTAAAATAAAGATTGAGGCTAATATCCATAAAAACTTAGAAAAACCAAAGAGCAATATTTATAATTGTATTGTCGAAGCAAATCATTAATAAGTGAAAATTAAACCAGAAGGTTAGAAGACAGCCAATTTGGGTAGCTCAACTTTTTTTTTTAATTAATTTTATATACTCAAAACTTGATTCTTTTTTTTCACAAGTCTTAGAACACTAAACGCTACACTCGAAATATGTCAAACAAACCTTGTTACGAATTAGCAGATCAATGCAAGAGCAATGCTAAAGCTGCTGCAGTTTGAAACAAAAAATTTATGCGATCTTTTTTCAAATTTACTAATTAAGACTAATAGTTGGCAACTACGTAAATCCCGTAGCAGTTCCTGAATATTTATGTGTTTAGGTGAGCACTTATAGATTAATGAGGTATTCTAAACATGCGCTTATTAAAATTTCATGTTGATTTATATAATTTTTTACCGTTTATCTAGTTTTTTGCGATACTAAATCCTCTAAAGCAGATATTTGCTTTTCTCATCTTTCTCTCAAACTATGAGAAAAATGTGATGGTGACATGAATTAACCAGTTAATGGTTGCCTCCTAAAATGCATCACTTTCATCGCCTATCGCTATAAACTGCCAAGAATAAACAGCAGCTAAAGAACATCTAAGTGCTACCCTAAATTGTTTACTGTTAATCAGTTAAAATTTCAGCACCTACCTTTGTCCTGCTTTAATATTAAATTTTTTTTTTGGTTTTTTTGGTAAGATAACTGGTCGAAAAAAGAGTAGAGTAAAGGCAAGGTAAACAAACGTTTTCTTATATACAACGTGTATCTCTTGATTACCCTACAATATCACTTGCATAAACCATTTTTTATTAATATTTCAAACAAAAAAGGCCGTTGAAAGTAACGTTTCTAGTCATAATTGTTCAACAAATGTGAAACGCTGTAATTTGTAGCGAAATATTTGTTTCAAAACAAATTTTTTTTGTTCAGTAAAAAGAGTAAAATTATTTGCCGGTAAAAAAGCGATTTGATCAGCAGTGAGAGGGAATCATAAAAGATGACTGCAGTTACACCATGAAGCATTAGGGTTCTTACTGTTAACTGTTGATCGTTTGACAAATGTCAGTTTGCTGCGCTCTATATGTCGTCGACTATTTAGCGTTCAGCCTTAAAGCTTCACAAAAGTAAAAGTCTGGAAATAAGAAATCAACAAAAAAAAAAAA